TTAGGTGCCTGTGTGGCACCTGGACTGCTCTCACGGATGGGCATGCAGCATGCTAATACTGAAATCCTCCAGGTACTTACTGTGTGGGATACTTGGGCTTTTTGTCATGAAAAGTTGGACAAAGTGCATTGATTTACAGAGGTCTGTGTCATTAAATACATGGAAACAAGAAGATAGCTCAAGAATGTAAATCCGAGCAGGTTTTCTAGGCTAAGTAGCTTTAAACCACGATGCTGCAAGTGTTGAGTGGGTTACTGCAGAAAACCTGGGAGCTGGTTCGACCAAATCATGGAAAAGAAATAGGAGGCTTTAAAAATTATCTTCCCAACAAATTGGCTTTTTGTCCTTGAAATTTGTTTTTTCCTCTCACATCTTGGTATTTCGGGTAAACAAACTCAGCACCATACAGTGATTTATGTAGTTGCAAATACAGATACTTCTCCGCAGTAAGTTACCATCTTGTGAGCGTCTCAAAGTGGTATTTTATGGAAACATTTCAGGGACAGGGCTGTTCTTGCTTTAAAACGTGGCTGTGGGCTGATGGTGGGTTTGAAGAATAGTGAATGAACATGACATTTGTACTGGTGACCTCTGTGCAAGACAGTTATCATGCTCCTGTGAGTAAAACTACTTTTTGTTCTGGAGTCCTGCACACAGTCCCTGTATTATTTGTATCCCAGGTTTGCCATCCAAGCACAACTTGGAAGGGATTTAAGGGATTCCCAGGCCTTCTTCTGGCCCTCAGTCCAGTGTTTGGAGGACAAAGAAGTAAATTGGAACTTACAATAGTAGCTTTGCTGTATTTTTTTTCTATAGTTAAAGCGGCCGGTTTCTCATTCTCACCCAATTTTGGAATTAATTCATTCAGTTTAAAAAAGGTGGGAAGTACCTGGTAGTTTGTGTTGTTTTGTCCAGTGTATTATCCCAAGGCAGGTTTTCTACAGTATGTTACTGATTGCTGCGTCTGGGCTGGCTTTGAAATGCTTCAGACCACGAGACTTTTATTATTCTTCTGGGGCTACTATTTCATCTAACAGATTACACCGACGGGAAGTTTTCCCTGATAATCATGGTAGCTCTCTTCTCTGGCTTCGTGACGAGTGATTCCATTATTCTTTGAAATATGTGGGTGATCAGTGGGCATTTTCAAAAGATTCCCTTCCAAATTGGAAGACAAAGAGAATTTTAAGCAATATAGAGGATAGATAGCGGGAGAGAAAAAAAATTATCAAGCTGGATATACTCTCTGATAGAAATATGTTTCCGAAGTCTGCAACATACTTTTCAGTGACACACAATTATGATGGATACTGCTCTTGAGTGACTCAGATTTACTTTCCTAGAGACCTGGCTTGTTATTTCATTGTTAAGGTACTGACAGTGGAATTTCTAAAAAGCAAGACGGAAGAACTGTCTGCAGAGTGAATATGGGAATCTTTCCATCATTTCAGCTTTCTTCTGCTACTTTTTGTTATGTTCGTATCCCTTCTTTTGGACTTTTGTTGGAAGTTGCAAAGGCCGATGCATACACCTGGGTCTTGGCAGGTTGAGAACTCTGACTGTGAATAATGAGTCAATTATCACTTGGTCAGGGGAGAGGGAGGCAGAGTGATCCTCTTGCTGGCTTGAATGTGAGCCTTCCTGCTTCCCCTTCTCTTTCAAAAGTAAGGACAGAAATAGTTGAAATTCAGAGCACTGTCAAAGGAATACAGCTGTGATGTCTCTGCAGATTGTAGTTTCTTTAAATTTAGAATGATTTATGTGTATGGTTTTAATAATATTTTTTAAGATTGTGGCTGTTACTGCCTCAAGCGAGCCAGTTGTGTGATGCATGCCTTGAGAAACTCTAGGTATTAGTAGTTACTTTGGACATTCGAGGGTGGATATTACTGGCCCTGAGGGACTGTGCTTGAGGCACGACATAGTGTTTGATTTGCCTGCCCCCCTCTAGTTTGTGTGGCATAGCTGATTTTCTGTCCACAGCAGGAGTTTCACAACTGCTTTGGGTTGCTTAGACTTTTTTCTTTTCCTTCTCAATTTTTCTTCTTCACTTGCAGTCATGAATCTAGGATCACATTGCAGTTGTGAATGTTTCATCAGATGTAATGTTTAATATTCTATAGCCCAGTAACTCTGCAATGGTCTTAACCAGGAAAAAGTTTCTGACAGCAGTTTATGACTGATGTCTTAGGAGAAGGGATAATGCTTCTAATCTGGGGTTGGTAAATGACACATAAATACTGTGAATGCACTCGGTATCTTACTAGCTCCTTTAATCTATGCAGCTTTTTAACTGTGACAATAGCTCAGCTGTCCAGAAAATTCATAACCAAATAAAATAAGTTTGTCAGCTCATATGTACCGTCTAATTATAACTGCCCAACTATGTGTTGTTGGTCTTTTGATGCTAAAAGTGATATTATTTTATTTGGAGAATTCAGAACCTATATTTTGGAGAAGGATGATCTGATTTCTATCCCAGAAGAATGACCACGGTGGTATCCAAGATAGGCGTAGGCTTGTTTATTCAGAGCCTGTGGGCTGTATGAATTACGTTGCTGATCATTCCAGCTGATGAGGCCTTTTGTCTCTCTGTTGATCTGGCTGAGAAAAGCGTATGGCCTCCTGAAGCTTCTTCTCACTTCTCGTGCTTAAAGGCTCCTGGTGTGCACAGGGAGGACACTGGCTCCTCGGTCCGTATCGTCGCTCTGCAGGTCTGCCCGTGTTTGGCTGCATGATTTGCTAATACACATGTACCCGAAAATACATTAATATCCTTTGTGGGTTGTTGATCCTCGATGTAAAACTTGTCAGTTCTTAGTATAAAGCTAGAAGTCCATCCTGTTTTACCACGACAATAACAAAAGCTTGAAGCTTTTTGAGCCAGTCATCTGGTTCTTCCTATAAAGTAGGGGGACAGTAAAAATATCTTCAAATAGTGGGTGACCATTTTACCTGACAAGAATTGAAAAGAGGGTTTCTTGTGTAATTCTGCTTCATTCCTGTGGCTTGAAAAAGACAGTGTGTAGGAAGAAGAGATTGCCCGTATGTACTGCTGTTTCCAAATATGCTTTAGTAAAGTACTTGCTAAAAAAGCAGGGAGAAGCCAGATGTTGTATCAAGAGACCTGGGATTTAGGAATTATTCAGAGGATCCATTTGTGGTCTGAACATTAAAATCGTTTGCGAGATTGCTCTGGTCTGGTGCAGTTTACTTTCTATGAACCTTGACGTGATGAATGTGGCCTTCAGGTTGTGCCCTGACTGCCAGCCCTTTCTGTGTGTCACTGTAACTTCAGCACAGAGCTGTCCCTGGGGATTAAGAACTCTTTGGCGGATGGCTCAGTGTAACGCCAAGGGCAGCATTAAAACTCTCCACAAGAATTACTTCAATGCTTGTAACATATAATTATGCTTTAAAAATGCACTGCAGTGTTTGTTATTGTTACAAAGTAGATTTTCCAAGCTAAACCCAAGAAACACTTTTAAATTAGCATTTATTTTTCATTAGGAACATGAGGTGTGAAGTTCATTTGAAATGATTGTCCTATAGCTGCTCCATATTTGATAATAGGACTTTTAAAATAAAAAATCCTGCATTTTTATTCTGGCCATGATTAGTTCATTTCTTTGCCATGTTGTAGGAAAAGAAACTATTCAGCAAGGGTTCAGAAATCCATAATTCCATGCACATACTTGTACCGATCTGTAATCAGCTCCTAGACCCAGCCTGTACTGTTGAGAATTCATTTGATGATCGCTAGCTGTGTCCTGTTCTGCTGGCTGCTCCATTGCCGTAGAGCTGGCCAGTAGAACAGCCAGAAGCGTTACCAGTTGTCTCAACTGCCCTTGTTGTCCAAGGAGTTGTTAAAGGTCTGAAAGATGTCACAAGCTATCACTGAAGGACTCAGTTCTATCTCTGAATACTTCCCTGTTTTCAGTGAGGGCCAAATTAGCCAGTATTGATGTATAAAATGAAGACGAGAGAAGTTACTCCAGTCTTCTGTCAATGCACTGGCAAAACATCTTTCCATTCTGCCTTTCAAGACCAAATGAGTCTCCCGAGGGAACAAACCCCGTTTGAACATCTGTATTTAATCTTTAATCTCGGCACCTAAACTTCCAGCAATGGAACGCCACTGGCGTACTGCTGTGTCTTAGTCTGATCCCAATAAAAAAATATTTACTCTTTACTTGCAAAATTTCCCCACTGGGTCAGTTTGCTGATAAAGGGAGGAAATCAAACCGGTAGTGAGCTAAGTCAGGAGCATGCTATAGTTGTTGAACTCTGGAAGCCACAGTGCCTAAAGAAGGTGTGCCATGGGTTAGATATGTGAAGAAATGTGCACACTTAACATACCAAGTGACTTTGTGAGCACAGGTCCCATGTAAGCACCGTTGCTGCTGGACTTTTAAAACTAGATGTGAGTGTTGGGAGTGTGTGTTCATGTTGGGGAATGGGGGGGGGGGGGGTTTAATTCTAAAAATGTACATCTGCAATAGCTCTACTGACTGTGCTGTTGCTGTGGGGTTTACAGTGTTGCTGCAAAGAAGAAACTCTTCCTGCCTGCTGGTGTTTGCAGTGGCAGATGAAGGCACAGGCACAGATGTTATGTGCCATTTTATGCAGAATTCAGAGAGCATTTAAACAAAGTTTTAAAATTTTAAAATAAAAGCTAAGATGTATCCTTATTTACTGTCTTGCTTTTTGGGGTGTTTTCAGCTCTCAGGTTGTTTTGACATGTTTTCTGTATATTGCATGAGCTTCTGAGACAATGAATTCTTTGAGGAACAGGTGATACTCTGTGCAACTGAAGTTCAAACTGCATATTCGCTTTTATGGTAAAGGTTGTGAGCTAAATGTATATGATGCACATGGAAGCTCTGAGCACGAGAGGAGAACATGTAAAATAAGTCAGTGTTAGACCTAATGAAATTCACGTTTTTCTTTTTCTTGGCTAGTGCATTGTGTTATCTGATCTGGTGTGATTCTCCTTGCAGGGGAAGAGGGGAAGACCATCCAAGGAAGTAAAGTGAGCTCCTTAAGAAAAACCTTTTCTACTTGTGAATTATCAAACAGAGATAAACAGGATGGCTCACCTGGAAGAAGCAATGAAATGTGTGTGTCTCTTCCACCACAGATGCCAAATGAGAATGAGGTAATGAGTTGACATTTGTCCATGTGGACAAGCACCACATTAAACCAGACGAAAATAAGGGGAGATACACTGTCCAAATGTTAGAGGCTAGTGGTATTTATCCCATCTGAGGCAAATATTTAAATTACTGCCTAAGTGTATAATGCCTACAGAGGCACCTGGAGGATTCATGCTTGGCGGTGGCATTTGCTCTACTGAAGAGCTGCCATAATCGGGATGATAAATCAGGTGCCCAGCAAGGATCTTTGTAATGCTGTCACTGAAGACTGCAGTAAACGATAGAAGTTGGCAAAAAGGAAAAAATCTTGAGAGTATGCATGCCAGCATGCACAGATTTATTTTGTTTCTTGGGGATTTTAGGAAGTACTGAGTTCTGTGTTACTGAAGCTAGATTGCTTCAGCTACCTAAAGGAAAAGTAGGTAGGCCAGAGACATTTTTAGTCTTCTGAAACATATGAGATTAGGGGTTTAATGTGTAGGGACAGGAAAACAACAGACATCATCTGGAGAGAGTGAGATGGAAATCTGGGTCCACGTGTTAAGAACTTCTGCCCTTCTGCCTGAATAATAAATAACTAAGCAGTGCTCATGCCTGTACTCAAAAATTCCCTTCATTAAACTTTTTATTAAAAAAGAAGTAGCAGGGCACTTTGTGCAATAGGCAGAGCAACACCCTTAAGTGTCTTCAAATGATGGGCCAGCCAGGCCTCAGCCAAAGAGCACAAGCTGACGTGTTCCTCCCTATGAGCCTGTGCCTCTGAGGTGGAATCAAGCAAGGCTTTTGAACAATCACATTCTGTCCATTGATTGTGTAATAATAACGCCAGGAATCTTTTTGCCATTTTTCTCACGAAGGATATGGTTGCCTCACTGGGACAGACAGTCTTCAGGTCTCTTACTTTAGCCACTTTGAGCTGGCTTTCTGCCCCATAAAGCAATGTGCAACTTCCATTATCCTTTATTTAATGGAACTTCTTAATCCTTGTCTTTGTTGCTATGGAAAAAAAGTTGCAGGCATGGCTGCACAGTTTTGTCACATTAGCAGTTGAAGAAACGAACACAGTAACAGTAGAATGCATCAGAAAAATTTCTAGTGCAGTAGCCGGAGGAGGCTGTAATGCAGTAAGTTGGCCGCTGTAACCTTTAAGCCTGCCCTGAGGGAAGGAAAGAAGGAAAAAACTGCTGCTGAAAACAATGCTTCTGGTCTAAAGGCTGCTTTTCAGGCACCTTGTGATTACTTGCACTGTTGTTCCAATTGATCCAGTCTGGATCTATTTTCAGGAGCATTGCGTTGACTTTTTAAAAACCTGTAAATATGCTGTGAAGGATCTGTATGTGTAAATCAGCAGGAGCTTTGACTGTGATTTTGGTCCTATTTCATACACGTAAGTGTTTCTACCTGTCTGTCTACAGACAGTGGTGGATGAGAGCTGGAAGGCTGGTGGCTCTGATGGGAACGATCTCAGTCCAGCTCAAAGAGTGAAGGTGAGGTTTTCTTTCATTTTCTTCAAAGTAGGGGTTATGAGCTGAACATGACTGATTTTTGCTTTATTCATTTACAAAGTACTTGCACTTTGTCGAGGTGTTTCTTGCCCATCTGTGGGAAAGAAAGATGAGAGCATCGCTGTCCAAAGTTTCTTTCAAATGTTAATAAGTATGTACTTTTAAAATGTAGGTTATGTAAATGTTTGTGAGAATGGTGTCAAATCAGGTTGGAAAAAAATATCTAAGAGCATCTCTAATTCTTTTGTGGAAACACAGAAGACTACTTAGTGCATATAGGGGATCCTCCATGGCAACACTATTTGCATGTAGGCTGGGAGAGGCCTTTCACTGTCACCCTGTGCGTCTACTCAGAGTGCTACCTGAAATAAGAAACTTCTTTTCTCTTGGTATGTTATAGGTAGTTTAGACCGTTTTCAAGTGACATCAGCATGAAAAAGCGCCAGTGCAATGTCCCAGATGAAATACTAAATGTGTAGTAATTCATAGCTTTTTGATTTCCCATTCAGTTCACCATTAGTATCAAACGAGAAGGATCAAGCTCTACTTCGCCTACAGCGTGTACTGTCTCTGTGCCATATGCAGTGAGCTTGCAAAACTGCAGAGTAACTTAGCATGTATTCTTTTTCCTATGAAAATATTTTACTTCTCCATCTTCCCACTAAGTTCCTGAAAAAGTTACTGTACAGCTTGAGCTTCTTTCCCATCACTGCAGTTGATTGGCAGCAATTGGCAGCAATTCTTTGCCTATACATGAAAGCATTTCCTTTGGGTTACACATTTCAAACAAAATTCGTATGGTTTCTTGGAAAAATGCAGGGGAGAATGGAGAAGATGAAGCAGACAATTTAATGCTCTTTTTCTTTGCTCTAGATGGTACTATAAGGAATGGAAATTCATACATTTTAATCTATTTTCCAATTTGGGATTTTTACGGCAGGTGGACAAATACTTAGATTTGGAAGATATAGACACAGATGAAGAGACATGCAGTGGTAGGTTTTCCACCCCTTCATATTCGCTAGCGTTGTCTGTCTTTCGATGCAAGTGTATGGATATTATTTAAAGAACTGTTTCTCCTCTAAAAAAGATGTTCTTCCTCGGTTCTTCTATTGCTAGAAAATTCCCCAAATTGTTCCAATTAGAATACTCATTTCCTCACTCTCTCCAAAACAATAAATTATAAGGAATATTTATTATACTGTGTCCTGGTCAGATGTTTTTTTTTCAAGGTTTTTCAGGATTGCAGAACACTTCTTGTTAGCAACATTCCTACATTTTTCTGCACTCCTATTTTGTATTGAAGTTATTTTGATTACAAAAGTTTCTCCGCCAAGTAATATGGGTGCTAAGAGTTCTATAAAGTGGAAATATTTAATGAAAATGCTGCCCCTGCCTATTAAAATGATTTCATCCTGGGCTTAAAATAGTTGAGACTAATTTTGAATTCACAGTGAACTGCTTTAAGAATTCCAGTTATGAGCATTTTGAGTTGTGTTGAACTGTTCTATACATCTATAATAATTTCAGCTCTCCCACCTCTAGAAAGTAAATAGAAACCTCGTGTCCATAGTTGCTTATCTATCTTAGGTGCTTGTGTGGTCTTTATTACCACCAGAATTGATGACCTTTTAGTGATTAAATCCATTTTCCTCATCTATGCCTGTGAGTGCACAAAGAAACCAGGCCACACAGATTGAGGGATTTGCCTAAGGTCATTGAAGGAAGCTGTTACAGGGCAGGACTCTGGTCCTCGGTTCCTTGGTTGTTGCTATTTGATTAGTCTGTCTAATCCTCTGAAGGTTTGCTTAGTCTTTCCTTTCTGTATGTGCAGAATTCCTGTGAAGTCAGAGGGCTTAAAGACTTGCAGTGGATTATATTTGGAGCTTGGCTGTAACTTAACTCACAATAAGATAATAAACTAACATAAGTCAGGTTTACAGCAAGTATTCTTTCTCCCACCTGGGCGTTTCAGGAAGGAGAGAGTAAGATAGCAGTCCTGTATCAGGTACAGGCACCAAAGATTTCTTTTGAGTGCAGTGTTCATATGTGCCCATTTTTCCCTTCACAGGACATTGTTCTGTGTTTATGTCTTAAATTCTGGTAATATTGATTAAAAAAACCTGGGGCTTACTGGTGGTAGTCTGAACCCACATTTCACTTGTATCATAATGAAATGAGAGCTGTCTGTGTCTGGTTCATGGGAGTACTGTTAGGTAGCTCTAGTTCAAAACAGGCCACAAATTGGATGATGAGAAAGGAGGCCAACACTAAAATACCAAGTGCGGCAGTGAGGAAAGACGAGCTCTGCCAGAGCCTGGGGACAGCTCGCCGTGTTCTGGCCCATGCCAGACTTTGCTTCTGTCCAGGCTTTTCAGTCATTTCTGTGTGTTTGTGTGTGTTGGAGAGTAAACGTTAATTCCATACGTTTAGAAACCCCTAGTAACACAACCTGCCCTTGAACAAGGTGAGAATTACACAAAGGATCATCTGCTTGTACTGTCTGAATAGCACTTTGCTCAAGCCACCTCGGGAAAGCCTTTCAGTTAGTGTTTTTAATGGTGATGATAAAGATATGAAGCATAACAGTATGCCACCACTGCTGTAGATTATCAGGGTGCTAACTACTCGCTTTTTACGTGGTGTTTGATTTGGCTTTCAGTCTCTGCTCTCCTTGGCTCTTCCCAGGAGACAGCGCTCCCTGCCCAGACTGCCTCAGAGCAGCAAGAAGCCCTGTCAACTCTGAAGCAATCAATAGTGCTTGCTGACAACATCAAGCATTTAGATTGCATTATATAACATGGAAACCTAGCATAACCAGAGGCTAATTATTCCTTCTAAACTCTGTAAGGAAAGTGAGCAGCATCCAGTTTATATCTGGGAAACCCACAGCCTGGGTCTTGCCCAGGGCTGCTTCAGTGGAGGGAGTTGTTGAGTCAAGATGAAAGATTTCCCCTTGACTCCTAAGTGCAGAAAATAGGACTTACAGTCTGATAGTTGTCTTACATGTCAAAATCCACTTGATAGGTTTCATAATAAGAGAGGTAAAATCTTACTCTTGTAGAAACCATAGCAACAAAATGCAAATTAAAACATGAAATGGTGTCACTTCTATTATTTGCAATAATAAAGTAATATAAAATAATATCTGTATTGACCACCTTAACAAAGGATTAATTCTGAAGAATTCCAGTGAGTTTGTAAGTGAGGCAAAGTGTGACGGGAATTTGAAAGACATTCTGTTGCTAGCCTTTTTAAATGCTGCCACCTGTATGTCAGATCAAATGATAGATGTAAGCCTTCACAGTGGCAATACAAGCTCGGACACACAGAAAAAGTATCATGACTGGCTAGCAGGATTACGACAGGCTTTTCTCTCTCCTTGTGGTTGGCAACAGCTCAGTTTCTCCATACTTCATTTGGTGGATGTTAAAAGGCAGATCAGTTAGCTGAGTTAGCAACAGTCCATTAATACAATAAATATTCACACTTCGGGGGAAGTGGCTCCAAGCTGACAGTGTGAAAAGCATGAGAGAAAATGGGCGTTAAAACATCCCCTCTAAACCAATGCTTTTTGGGAGATGTCCCGGAAGAATCATCCTAGTGGGGTTTCTTTTCTCAACTTACTTTCCTAACACCAATGGCTTTTAAGGTGTGAGTTAATACAGCTGCTTCTTACCAAAAAAAAGCAGCCCATAGGTTTGGCTAGTGTCCAGACTCATTGTAGCTGTCTGCATTAGGCAGCACTGGGCTTTTGAAAGCCTGAAACCAGGGCAGTGCTTTGCATTGTGGGACTTTGGCATAGTAACCCATGGTTGGCAAAGTAAAATCGCTGCCCTAAACCATAGCTTTAATGCATTTTGTGGAGACAGTGCATGTATAGTGGACTGTTTAATCGCTCTTTCTCACTGAATTTAATCTGCAACTGTAAGTAGCTTAGGGCAACAATAGAGATGGTCAGGCTTTCTCAAGGGATGGATGAAGAATGCCTAGTGCCTCTGCTTTGGCAACAGAATTCCTTTCCAGGACTGGTGGCAAATCACTTGCTGCAGAGCCAGAAGGATAGTTAGGTAATAATAGGCAGTGTTTTTATAAAGTACAAAATATATAAAAAGCATGTCTAGAGACCTTGAGCATGCTACTTTTTAAATACAAGAGAAAGTTAAAATAGGACTAATTAAATATACGGGTGAGGCTGCATAGGCAAGGATATCAGAGTCTTGTCCTATCCAGCCTGGAGCCCTGAGGTACTGTAAAATTGTCTTTCAAGGTCCCAGTTCTCTGCCACCCCACTAAGGCTGAGGAGAACCCATGCGACCCAGTTACTTTGAAGCTGAGGCCAAGCATAACTATTTGATTATTTAAATAATTCTTTAGGCAAATTATAGCTGTATCTGTTATTTTCCATAATCCGTGCCATTCCATTTATATTTTGAGCCTATATTTACGTCCAGAAAAATCAGGTTGAGGAAGAGGATTCAGACTTAAATTAATGTGGATCTTTTCAACATGGGGCTCCCCCCAACTGTTGTATCTCTTTCTTTTTTTCTCCTCCAGTCTCTGCAATCCATTTAGCACTGCCTCAAGATGATTTCACACTAGGCAGCTCTTTGGGGCTAACAGCCTGAAGCCTGAGAAACAGAGGAGACAGCAAAATTTAGCTTTTAAGCTTTTTTCATTATCACTGCCTCCCTCCTCAATTCCCCATCAAAAGCATCTTTGTGAAATGTAGTGTCTGAAAGTGGTAAAACCTGTCTTAGTGTATCTGTAGCTGGGCATCATTTGGCTACAGTAAAGCTAAAGATACGGACAAGACTTTGAACTTCTTCACTCTTGAAAGTTCAAATCAGGTTTGTGCCTATAGATTCTTTTTTCTTTTTTTTGATTATTGATGTCAATGGTACACAATGAGTGAAAAACGCCAATTCAGCAGAGTTTGCAGATTTAGCAGCCACTTTCTGTGGGTCTGTCAATTGAGGGAGGAGAGGGACTAAAGAGAAGGGAATGGCTCAGTTGCCAGGTATGCTTGCATTAAAGTGTGCTGGACTAAATCATCGGAGAGGTACATTTCAAAATCTCTTCTCAGATTTTTGATATCGCTGTCTGCTTAGTTATCTCTAGATATGGTGCCCTTGGCAGTATCCAAGGCTTTCCTGTTGCTAATTAATCACCTCCACAGAGAACATAATTAGCAGCTTAATGAGGATCATCATCCACTAGTGCTGTAGCATCAGCCTAAGCCAGCTGTGAGATACTGGCTAGAACTTACAGTAGCGTACAGTTCCTTTGGGAGCTCGCACTGAGGAGGACTGTCAAAACTCCTTAATTTTTCTCTCTGAAGGAGTTTCTTGATTAAACATTATCAGGGAAAGCAGCATTTACCGATTAGACTTTCATACGCTGTCATGCAGCCAGGATGGAGACAAAGCTCGTTTCTGGCATGTCTACTGGCAAACAAAGGTTGATTACCACGTTCTTATGGGGTGATTGAAGGGAATTTGAAACATTGTTTGCATTACTAACGAGCCTTAAAATAGTGGAATTGACATTCTGAGTATGACAAGCACTTCTTGCTAAAAGCAAAAATAAATTTTAAGAGTAGTCTTTCTGAGCCATTGCCAGACTGTTGTGTAACAGCGCTTCCTCCTCATCTTCTCTCCGCAGACTGGTCTGCTGAGAGCGGGGGAAGCTCTTGGTACAGAAATAATCAGTGTTTATGTCAGGAGGTGATACAAACCTCCCGATGTCCAGGCTTTCCTTCCTCAGCGAGGGTATGTATGTAGGGTGCGAGGTTGAAACAATAGGAGAAGGTGTCATCGCCTTGAAGTGAGCGTTCACATCTTCCTTCTGTCCTACAAACAGTTGTGACCCAAGTTATGAAAGGTCGACAAAAGCTGTTGCAGTGCATGTGAAGACGTGGCATATGGGGTTAACGTTTGGACTCGATGATCTTAAAGGTCTTTTCTGACTTAAACGATTCCATGATCCTATATACCTGTGGTCTGCACTGTTCTTTCTAGAAAGCTTTCTCCTATAACGGGTGCAGATGCCATGCTGAGAACAAGTACTGAAAGCACACAGATGACTACAGATAGATATAAGCAACCCAGAGAATAGGGATGAAAACTGGAAACCACTTATATGTGAGTCATGCACCTAAAGACAAAAATCCAGGAATGAGATACCCAGAGGGAACAAATTCAGTTCTTTTTGACAGAGCATTCTGCTTTATGAGCCCAAAGCCCTTCTAGCTTTGAAATAGTACACAACTCCCAGAAGACAACTAAATGAAGAATTCGATCATGGATTTTTTAATCTAGGAAATCATTGTTTTCAAATGCAGATTTACAGGAGAATGATAGTTCTGTAACTCCATTACTGTGGTGAAAGTGTGCAGGTAGAGATAAATAGCAACTTCTTCCTTTTCACCTTGGACCACCTCTTAGTGGTTCCAGTAACTGACATTTAAGCAACCCTTTGAGAATTTATTCTGAGATTTCAAGGGCAAGTCAAGCTACTAAAATGTAGTATAAAGATGTAAGGAAACTTGTGTATGAGCCAGAAAAAATAGTGATTACATAATCCTTTGACTAAATTGCAAGACATATGGTCCCCTTGAGTTCCTTCATAAAGGCATTACTGAGACAAGATGGACACACCTGTGCTGTAGCAGAGCTGAGATTGATTCATGTTAAAAGATATTTCTAAACCTGAGGCGTATCCTTCTGAGCTGCCACAGAAGGCAAACCCACTGTTCCCGTATGAACATTTTGCCTGAGTATGTAAAGGAAAAGTGATTCAGAACGTCTGTGCGTTTGTGAACTGTGGGACAAACCCTGTCCGTGGGGAAAGGGTACATTTTGCTGTGTCCCAGACAGAGGGAGGTCCTCTTAGGTCTCTCTTCTTGGAAAGCTCGGGGAGGAAGAAACATCCATGAGATGCCCTTGTACAAGGCAGTCATCTGGCACTGTAGTGGGGAATATTAGTTCTTCTCCCGGGTACTTTTACTTAATGTTTTTGGAGAGCCATGTTAAGGTGCTTTGCAAGGATTCTTTCTGCCCAGGGTACAGGTGGTGAAACTCTAGCAAAAGAGACTTGAATGAGACTGCCCAGCTAATCGGTGGCAAGACCAAGATTCAGCCTGGTATTTTATGAGTCCTACTGCAGACATCTCTGCTCAGGACCTTCCTTCTTCGTTATGAAAGTGCTGAATCTAATCCCAGGTGTTCTCTGCATTTAGGAGCTTCATCCACATTTTTAATTCAGTGTCCTCAAGGAAGAAGAGCTGTGTATTTTCAGCCAAGTTTGATTTTTCCGTAGTATAATAAATTTTATTATCTAGATTTTAGCTGAGGACTGCATGGATCTGTTTTAATGTTATATATTATGCAACAAGTCCAGCACACTTTGACTAACAAGCTTCTGCCTGTGTCTGAACACTACAGGATTTTACACAAGACTTTGCTAATTTATACATTGAGTGGAAGGCTGAAGGTGACTATTTTTTATTCAGCAGGGTCATTAGTTCTCCCAGGAGAGGTGGAACAGGCAGTGACTTACTGTACACCCTTTTTGGATAAGCCTTCTGCACTGAAGTTCAGAACCTTGTTGGGTCCACAGCTGTTGGACAGCAAAGCCCAAGAGGTATGAGGTCAGACTTACTTATTGAAACATGGGGGGTTTGGGGTGGTGTTCTTTACCTATTGGCTTCTACTGTTATTTCCACAAGAACAGAGGGGTATAGATGGAGTGTGTGGAATTGCTATGAGTTAACAAATCACATTATTAATTTTTAAATTAATAATGAATTCTTAAGGCTTGAGATAAACACTCTAACAGAAAGGTGCTATTTTATCTTGCACACTGCTACTATATAATTCTACATTTTCATAATGTGTACTTTAATACTTCGAACAGTATGTGGGCTTTTTAATATTTAAGTGATGTAACTCACAGAATATTCAAGTGAGCTCTTGCACTTCCTGATCTTTTAACAAATCATTACTTATGTAGAATGATGGACCATTTAATGTTCCAGTGATCTCGTGATCTTACACCATCCTGCAGTTCTCATTGGGCTGAATATAGGAATCATCTTCTGCAATGAGGAGGTGGTGAATGGTCCCTTTAACGTGGCAGTTAAAAGAAAAAAAGACTTTAGAATATATTGTGATCAGAATTGGGATTTGTCCTCTCAGGAATGAGTAGTAGTGAGATGCTGCTGTGGATCTGCATTGTCTAGGTCTAGTGCGGAGAGGTTTGCGTTATGGAGCCCGAGTCTTTTCATCAGATACAATCAATACAAGCATTAATTTGGAATTGCCATTTTCCCTCAGAATTTCACTTATTTTCAAACAGAAGTGTGGGTTGCTGACAGGCTTACTTTAAGTCATTAGTTCCTATTGCAATAGTCAGCGTGAGCATTAACTTTTGGGAATGTTTCTATTGCGGAGAATTCTTCACCACTCTTTTCCCCTGCCTGATCACTGTAATAGAAGCTGAAGTTAGCTTCCAGCTAAAATGGGCCAGTTTTGATAGTTTCATATGCTTATGGGTGTCCCGTGAGGCCTAAATCACGTTTATAAATGACGCGTGACCAATGAAGGGCTGATGCTATAACAGTGCATATGGTGCCTCCTTTCCTGAGCTCAGTTGTGTTTAGTTCTTTGCAATAAACTCTTTACTGTAAGGAACAAGTCTGCTTTGGGAAAAAGTAAATGTTCTAAAATGACCTTTCAAGCTTTAATACCCACCATTCTGTGAATAAAAATACTTACTCTTTTCCCTAAGGATTGGCATAATTCAAGGCTTTTGCCTTGAGAAATATCCATCGTCACACAAAAACCCCCTAGAATGAGGTTTTATAGTTTTCTCATTTGATAACTTCTGTATAAAACCAAAGAAGAAGGAGGGTTGCAGCAACCTGCAGTGTTCATAAAGGATTGCATATGACTCTTTAAACTAGGATTCATGAAAAATAGATGAAGATCCCACCGCATGCAAAATTCATTTCCATTTGAGGAAAAGTTTGGTTATGAAAGAGAATCTTGAGTATTATTACATTGGTTAAGGGTTGCTGCATTTTTCAAGAAGAAAGACTGACGATTTTCACAACCGTCTGGTTGGTGCCAGGCTACTCAAAATGAATGCAGTCTCTCCCCTAAATTATACACATATTTGTGCCTTCATTTAGATAATAGAACTGTGGCCTGATTTTTAGAAATGTCAAGACTGAACAGGTTCATTTTAAAATCCCTCAGTGCTTCAAATTGTCATTGTCTTGAAAATTAAGTCTTGCATTGCTTATGGCAGGACTAGTTTAGAAAGAGAAAAAGGTTTTCCCCGGAGACATCCCTGCTTTGCAATGAGACTGTTCTTTGTCAATCAAAACAAATCTGTTAGGGAAAGGCAACAGAATGTGGCTGCCTAGTCGGCTGGAAATGGAAAATCATTCCCTGTGAAAATTAAGCAAGCTTCATGGTGCAATGTAGGATGTCATATATCTATGCTATGGACAGATTTGTGAAGGACTTCGGGGGAAGGTTGCATCTCTGAATGTACTGCTAGGGAATGTTTAAAAGAAGAACCTCTGCTAAGGCCCGGGGTATAACTTGGCTAGTTGTTAAAGAACAACTTGTCTGCCTGAAAGTGTTTTTCTATTCAAAAGCTGTTGGGAAGAGGCTTAGCGAATGACCCAGCCAATGATTTGTGTCGTCCACCAATGTTGCTTCATCTTTCTTCCCTGGTTTTAGACACAATGTATTCCTGGGTTTCGATATTGACAGTGCAGCATACATGACCTCCCACAGGCTGCTGCAAATCGAAACAGCATTCGCTCCACGGTTGAAGTACGTTATCATAGAACATTTACCTTCCCTACCCAGATATTTATTCTCTACTTCATTCCTACTTAATACTTTCTTTCGTAAAAGACATCATAGTTTTTTAATTGACAGTATGTCTTAATGCCTGCTTCCTAGGGTTTTTATTTGTTCTTATTTCCCCCTGCATACACGAGTGCAGCTGAATGCGTGTTTTCCATCCACACTGTTAACGTGCATTCAAAGTGGGGTTCATCTCACCTAACTGCAGCTTTAAATTTGGTCTAATTTAGTGCTTCTGTCATCAAGAGGGGGAGATTAGCACCTCCAGAGAGTGGTTCATCCCACTTACTGTAGGCATTTGTCCTAAGAGGTAATCTGTCTCCCCTCACAGGCCGACTCTCAGGCTGGGTCTTTTTTGGCTAAGTGAATACCTTACTTTAGAAGCCTAATTTTTATATGGCTGGGATTAGGAAAGATGAATTCTACCCTTCTCTTCTCCTCTGCTTGCCTTCACTTTGAGTATTCAAAAAAAGTATTTACCGTGCCTATCACGTTATCCTTGTGGAATGGCAGCATCTGTCACCTAAAATACAGCTTCCACTGAGATCCTTTGGGTTAAGGTTTTACTGAGGGGCCTCAGCGGAGGTTTCTTTCTGCTAAGTGCTCTGCATAATGCAACAAGAACCAGGAAGACCTTAAAGAAAGGATTGACTAAGGGAAAGGAGGTAGAAGAGTTACATCTTCTCTGAGGCCAGGAAAGACACAGAGATTGAGTGACTTGTCCAGAATGATGAAGCAGAAATGGAAAACTGGCCAAGAGTTATTGACTCCCAATCCAGTGCCCCAGGCTCAAGAGAAGTTTTTTTTTTTCTTTTTTTCCAAGTACCTCAGTACTCAGTATTATGTTCCTGTTAGATAATAGCACACATGCCTCCCCCCCTTTTTCACTCACTGAGCTAGCAGGGTTCTCTTGAGTATACAGTGAAGTCATTGGTGAATGTATGTGCATGCTTTACATCCTTTGAACAAGTGAATCGTAGAGTGCCATAATTACACAGAAATAAAGGGTTTAGAAGGACGGAGAGGAGTGGTTCAGTTAACTGTAACTCCACACAGATTAACAAAAAGAACTGAGTTGCCAATTATTAATAGACTTTTGAAAGTCTCAACTTTAAGATATTTTATTTATAACATAACTTTGTAAAACAGCCTGTAGCAAAATGCTTCAGTTATTAATATGAATATTACATTCTTTCCCCCTTTAATTTGGACATGCAGGAACTGTAAAGGAAAATGATTTTTTCTTCAGAGAGTAAATCACAGGAGCACTCTTAAGCAAACTGGTAGTTTTCTAATAGAGCATAATTCTATTCCCAGAGAGCTCTCAGAAAGATTTCAATTGGATGTTGAATTAGACACCTGAATTTCACATATTTCTCTCAGCTTCTTAGGCAAAAATAACAAGATAATAACTTGATCAGCTCAGAGGATTCAGTGTTCTATTGCAAAATAACTTCCTTTTGAAATAGATCAAAATTGCAGTTTTGCAGTATGAAAATTTTAGATTGCTTGTCTGTGTGGAAGGGTGAAGTGAACGGCTTCTTGGGAGAAGAAACAAAAAAAGAATCCCTAGTGCTTCAAGTACTCATCTGAGAGATGAAGCCCGCTGATAAATATGCAATGTGAACAAACTTTTTAAATGTGCATGAGTGGGTAACGGAAAAATCGTTGATGGTGAAGTTGAGTGTGTTCTACTTTGGCATCTCATTTCAGTTAGTGTTTTGAGGTCGAGTGTTTTAGACAAAAGTTTCCCCAGTATTTCTCTGCATCTGCATCAAATGGTCCTGAGATGGCACGAAGGTCAACACAAGGACATGGTGAATGTATGTAAACTTTCCATAATGGTGTTGGCAGAGGAGGAACAGATTTGGTTTCGTAGCATCCCTATGAAGGGTCACTGTAATTTAACCTCTTCTCAGCTTTGTTACCTATAGATGTTGTAACACATATCGTTACAACCAAACTAACTGATAAGTATTTGCACCTTACATAGTGTGTTAGAAGAAAGACAGGTAATAATGAAGCCCAGGTGCTGGTACCAGTTGTTACCCAATTGCTGGTATCCTTGCTGGCATGGGATTTTAGGAGGCTTTGCCTGTGGAAAAGATGAATGGCCTTAATGACCTTAGCCTTAATGGGAAGGAGAGCTTGTGTGCAGGCTTTGTCTCATGTAAACATTTCCTGAATGTGCTATTTATAAAAGTTGATGATGGCTTACCCAGGATAGTCTGTGGCCGCAAATGAGCTAATCTTTGCATGCAGAATGAAAACTATTTTCTGGACCAGCTCTATCTACGAAGTTTGTTTTTCTCATTTGTAAATGCCTGTGGTCTGCAGGTCCGCATCTGGGGTGATTTATATGCTGCAGCATAGAATCACAGAATCACAAACTGGTTTGAGTTGGAAGGGACCTCAAAGATCACCCAGTTTCACCCCCCTGCCATGGGCAGGGACACCTTCCACTAGACCAGGTTGCTTCAAGCCTCATCCAGCCTGGCCTTGAACACTGCCAGGGAGGGGGCAGCCACAGCCTCTCTGGGCAGCCTGTGCCAGTGTCTCACCACCCTCACAAGGAAGAATTTCTTCCTAATATCTCATCTAAATCTCCCCCCACTGGCATCTGTTGAAGCCCATGTAAGCCATGTCCCTAGAACATTAAGCAATACAGGTGATTAATAAAATTATAGAAAACCAGAAAAAATATTTCCTGATCAATCAGGCAATATTGCAATTTATTGATAAAGGATGTAGATACTTGGTGCCATGTCTGTCAGGTGCCGGGCCACTGGAGAGGAATCCAGCTACCACTTGTCTGACTTACTAGATGGCATTAACTGTGTCACTGCAGCTTCTTACCAAATTTACCAGCAATTGTGTGGGATACTGTGCCTTTCAAACTGAGCAGTGGCCAAAAGGTGCTAAGTGTTCTCCCTCCCATTTGTAAGTAAGTGCATTCGTAACTTCAAATATGTCAGTAGTCATGGGCTTCATGGAGGAGTCATCAGAAGTTTGAGAAAATAAGCCATGCATTTAAATGTTTTGCTGATTTGCTACTGAGGTATGTAAGTCTTTGAATCATGGAGCCCTTGTGAAGATGTGCTATCTGTTATGGTTGAAATTTCTGGATGTTTTGTATTAACTTCTCAAAGGATAGGGAGCATTCCTGTACGGTTTGGGCAGCGAGGATGTGTCTCCTGTGTAGCTCTGGAATGAATTTTATGTAGCTGCTTACCATAAACCTTTTGTGTCATGGCCCCCTGCAGCTTCTTAGCATGCAGCCTCCTGTAGTTATTTGCTTTCATTATTTTATTTTATAGGCAGAGCGTTTATTCTAAGGTATTTCAATGGGAAGCAATACGGAAATGCTACATGATGTCAACAAAGCAGATATTGGCAAATGCAGTAAGACTCTATGTTCATCATGCAAGGAATCCAAACCAGCCAATTCCGTATCTCTGAGATGGTGAAATTGTTGGATGCTGAAAATTGATTAGGTGTCATTTTGCTCATTCCAGGCTGGGAAGCATGTTACATTAGTATCGGATGCGTGTACTCTGATGCTTTGTGTAATACTAGCCCAAATTTTAAGGATATGGAGTCTGTCTCTGAAATTTAACACAGCTGTACATAACTTGTCCATATCCCCACAGTCCTGCTGCTACAAGTGGCAGGAATGTAATAGATGTGTGCAAGGGAGGTTTTCAGATTCCTTGCCTTGAGCAAAATTAGCTAATGATACTCATTCAGATACAGTACAGTACAAATGGGGCATATTAAATGGCTTAAAGTAGGTCAAATTGAATAATTGAATTTGTTCTTTTACTTAAAAAGAGCTTAATCAGCTGAGAGTGCTAGAGTCAGAAAAAATAGTTTAATTAAATATTAATTAGAAGTTTATATTTTGAGCTCCCTTATCATCACTTGCAGCAATATTATTTATCTGTTTTTCCTCATTACAGCTACTAGGGGATGATGTTCAACCGTTCTCAATTGATGACGAATTTGATTACGACAGTGTGGAACTGACCCCTAAGTTCTCCGAAGCTGAGCTGAAGGGCATTTTAGAACTGTCTGAAGAGAAGAAAATGGGGACAGATGTCAAGTCAGCATGAGCTGAAGACTGAGTCAAAGGCCGTCTGTGCACTGCTGTTAAAATAACACTTTTAGAGGGTAGACCTAGCTCTCCGTTGTACCCTTATTAAGCATTTTTATCCATGTGGCCAGTAAATGACATCCTCAATTTTGGCTGTTCTACCAAGGTGCCTTGGAGCCCGAGGTTGCCTTTCGCTGTACCTCCTCCTAGTCCTAATGAAAACACCGAACAGGAAGATGATGCTCACCCAGATTGCTTGTGTAGCAGCCCTTGAGCCAGGGAGGAAGTATTCCCCACGTTTTCATATGCCTATACGCTGATCTGCTTAGGCATTCGGGTTCGCTGAGGAGGTCTGTATTTGGCCCTAGGCCCAACGGGATTTTTGTATAGATCGGTGACCTTTAATATTTTTAGGCCCCAGTGCTCAGCTGCTTTGTTGCTTTCCAGGTGGTACAAGGGGCTGGAAGGGTGCCTCGAATGACAGCCATAAATGCCCTTTTGTAGAAAAAACCCTTGAGTGGGCTGAATCCTGTGTTGGCTCAGGCGAGGTGTGCCGGAGCAGTTACTCCATAGGACCAAAACAAGCTGGTGGAATGCAGAACATGGTTACTCTTGCTTACACTTGGTACTGACGTAGTTCCTGATGAGTGCAAAGCTACTCCTAAAGCTGCCTCTCACCTAGTTCTTTCAGTAACGCAAGTAAGAGCTTTTTGTAGCTTACAAATCAGTCTATAAACCGTTTCCCTATCATCATAAGACTTAAGTATACAGAGCTGTGTGAGTGAATAAACCTGGGAATATTGGGCTTTTTCTCTGTCTCTTGAGTTACTTCAGTTTTGCAGAGAAATAAATATTCTTGTTTCCAATAAACTTTTTGAGTTGATCAAAATTGACGTGGTGCAACTCCTAACAATTAAAACATGAACTGCTATAAAAAACCACAGAGGAAAAAATAGTGATGTCACCCATTAAAGGAACTGGCACTGAAAGGCGGTCAGATTTTACAGTTTTTTACAGGAGATGATTCCAAATACCAGCTTATGGCTTATGCTCAGCATCACTGACATACAGCACACTCTGGAGTTGAGTGAAGGGCAGGTAGTAGGGGTGGGAGAGAAGAGCGTGCATCTCTGACACGAGGTACGGTATGTACTCTCGCTACAAGGTGCTCAGGATTCATTTTTTTCAGCTTACTGTAGAGCTTGGTTGAACATCACGAACTGAATCATGGTGTTGGTCATTTTCTGGTATAACTGCATTAGCTGAAGTTTATTGAACCACGCTTTGTCCTTGGCCTCCCTCCATTATTTCTGAAGTGAGTGATTAACACGATGGCTATGGGAAGAGTGCCTGAGCGGACAGGCTAGAGACCAAGGCACAGGTTGTTTAAAGGCTCTGGATGAAATCCCTGTGGCCGGTTGGCTTCTCCATGGTCAGCAATTTATAAAAGCAAAGAAGAGTGCTTTGGTGCTCCAGAGGAAATGTTCTGGATCAGTAATTTTGTAGACCATAATCACACACCACTGAAATCTTGAATAACATTTGTTTTGAGGAATGGTGTTTACCTTCGTTAGGGGGATATAATTTGAGAGTGATGTTAACAAAAAGCAGAAAAGAAAGTGGTCTCAGAGAAGATGTTTAAGGAGAGTGATCGAAAACTACAGGTATGTTGTATAGATAAACTGGTCTGTATTGGACCTTGCTGGTAGAAGGTAATGAGAATTTATTGTTAATATCTACACTCAGAAGGGTGCCTGTGCTGTAGGTTAAAATGGGTTTTGGTGCAGTTGGCTGTATAGCAGATTCTGCTGCTGTTTGGGAAACATCTTCTTTTTTGGATTTTGTTTTAAATGTGAATTCATTTGAATTCAAAATTCAATGAAGTGTTTGGTTAAACCCAAGATATTTTGAATTAAGTGCTTCAGATCCAACTGAAATTTTCCAGTGAAACATTCCGCTAAAAATTCCTGAACAGATCTAATGATTAATTCATCTTCTTCTGGAAGACACAGATAATGTGTATAAATGGAGGAATAAGTAGTAGGTTCTGGAAGAGCTCCATGAGCAAATTTGGGAGGAAGAAATTGAGAACAGCTGTAGAAAGATAGCAAGGTCAGCCTTTAAAAGCCTCAGCAGAAAAATAAGGGAGACAATCTTCTTAATGTATGCATGTACAGCAAAGATTGTGTAAGGAACCTTCAGTCTGAGAGACCTGTGTATGGAGCTGGCTATCCTGCAGACAAAGCCTCAACCAGAAATAAAGGTGAACTGTTGTGGAGTCACGGAATGACGAATTCAACACTTTTTTGGTGTGGGTTTTTTTTTTTAGAAAGGTGTGAGGCTGACAAACTATATCAGTCCTGTTGGAATCCTACTGCCAAGAAAACTTGTCCTCTGTTTCATAACGATCTTCAGGCAAAATCAGCCTGGAAATCTCTTAAGTGCATTTTCTGTTCATTTTATTACCAGTTTTTCCCTGTACATCAGGGATACATCCAGCCATTCCGTTCCTTCTCTCCAATTTTCTTACTGAATGTTCGGAGTACCTGTTATGCTCCGTAAGTGTCATTCAGTAGAGTCGTTATATGGCTCCATCTGATATAAAGAAGCACTTTGCTGCAGAATACCCAACAAAATTGGAACTCTTTAGAGACATCCACCTTACACAGAGAAACGAGGATAATTCACATACATTTACACCACTCATGAGTTAGATTTTTGCTCTTTGTTAACAGAGATGAATATCATAGATTAGGTGATTAGGTAATGCAGGCTACATTTTCTGAACATGACATTTTATTGGCCTGCCCCTGGTTGTTTTTGGCTTGTACCTTTCATTTGATTATCTTTCACAGAGGCGGCATATTTTCCTCTTCTCCATTGCCAGGTTGTCATTTTTAAGAGCATATTTTATGTGCATGTTAAATTTTATACATGTAAATGGAGTTAGTTACCTGGAATTGCTGCAGTGTTTGTGAGGTGGTTTGGAGTCTGAATAATATATATCTTTTCCTCTTGTATCTTGTATTCTTTTTATTATTTAATGTTTTCAGCAGGGGGTGATGAGGGACATTCTCCTTTTCTATTTATGGTCTTTTCTAAATATTTTTCCTGTTTTCTGAGAGAATTAAGGGCCAAACTCACACATGGAACAGGAAACTTAGAGTGCTACTTGGAATCGACTCAGGGGCCACTACAGAAGGGAATACGAGCTTCTCCCCACCACGCTGATGAGGGTTTTGAACTGCAAATCTCTGATGCTGGGTGAATCCCTTGGAAGCAAAGGCTGTGAGATGCATCTCTAATCCCTGTGTGGTTGTGGCTTCATTGATGTCTGAAGTGCAACAGAGCTACGCACCTGTATCAGTCGGCGAGCTTGCTGCTATTGAACTCACGGTGTCTTGAGTGTTACCAGGAGGTTACTGACTGTTTTTTGCCACAGTCTTGGTGGATCCTGAGTTCTGGGGAGGAACTCCTTGAATTTTATGGAAGTGTTCTAGTCCTTCACTGGGGAAGGAATCTGAAGAGTTGTGTCCTTGGCTGGCTGTGGTGCATGCATGGGTATTGTTAATGCTCAGTTACTCCTTGTGGGTGTAAAAAGGAGGAGTAATAATTTGCTGAGATAATGGTTGTGAAAGAACAAGATAAAAATTGAAGAAATGAAAAGAGATGCAGACAAATCTGACTCAGACATTGTTACGGTTCTAAATATATTTCTATTAATGCATAAAGGTATCATTATATACCTTGTATACACACAGTGCCACTGAAAGAAGGTAATTTTAGTGTGGAGAGTACTTGCCAGATAATTCAGAACCTTTTGAAGAAGATGGCATGGAAACAAATCCCTGCTGTTACGGAAAAGACCCTTTGATCCTCTGGCCTTGATTTTCTGCTGCTATAAACTGGCAGAAGTCCACTGAGGACATTTGTATTCATACAGAGCAGACAGGACCCTGGTATTTACAGCTTTAGCTGAAAGAATATGTAGCCAAATCTACTCCTGATTTCACTTTACTGAATATACAGCTATGGATATGACCCATTATCATTATGGGCAAATATTTAAAGGCAGAGCCAATGCAAATGAAGTGTAAAAACCCTATCTTTAACAGTTCGGTTCCTAGCTTTACACAGGTCGTTTTGGAGTTTCTATAGTGGTGTGCGCTTAGAATGTTGCTTTTTCCTTTAACAAAAATATCACATAGGTGTTCAAGTCCTGTTCAACTCATGACACTTGGTCACGTACATGACTACTAAAGATTCCTCCCTCCTTTAAAGTTTTGTTTTTCCCTCTGCATTTTGGCAAGGATTGGAAGTGGACTTTGCTTTATCTTGGAAGTGTTTTAAAGATCTGGCATCCTTTGTAAAAGCATACACTTTCTTATAAAGGTGGACTCCCCCAGTCAGTGATGCAACACTAAATGCAGAAATGAAAATAGGACCGAATTCTTAGTTATTCAGCAACTTTGTGTACGTCATGGTGTGGCTAAACAGCCGCTTGGTGTCACAAAGTGTCTGCTTGGATAGCAGACTGGTTTGTATCCTGTTGTCACACAGAATCACAGACTCACGGCATGGTCGGGGTTGGAAGCGACCTCTGGACACCATCTAGTCCAACCCCCCGCTAAAGCAGGTTCACCCGGAGCAGGTCACACAGAACTGCGTCCAGGTGGGCTTTGAATATCTCCAGGGAATGAGACTCCACAACCTCTCTGGGCAGCCTGTTCCAGTGCTCTGTCACCCTGAATGAAAAGAAGTTTTTCCTCATGTTGAGGCAGGACTTCCTGTGCCCCAGTTTGTGCCCATTGCCCCTTGTCCTGGCACTGGGCACCACTGAAAAGAGCCTGGCCCCATCCTCTTGACACCCACCCTTTTTTATAAGTGTTGATAACTGCTGGCCGCACTCTTCTTAACGCACCCCAGGACACCAGTGGCCTTCCTGGCCACAGGGGCATGTTGCTGGCTCATGGGTAACTTTCTGTCCACCAGACTCCCAGGTCCTTCTCTGCAGAGCTG